TATTATTATTAAACAAAATAAATACATGGTAAGTGCTTTATAAATGTTAACTATCATTATTATTAATATTAAAATAAATTCATGGTAAGGTTTTTTTGGGAGGAGGGAAGCATGGGCAGCTGGAGAGGAGTCACAAAAGAGATAGTTAAGGGTATTTTGAGTGTTTTTTTGGTAGAGGGTGAAATAACAGGCCATGTATTGCAGAGGCTTTCATGTTAAGGTCATTCAGTGGATAAAACCATCCATGTTGTTACCAAGTCCAAGCATCTTCATGGAAAGGTCAGAATTACTCCCGAGAGACAGAGCAGTGTAGTGGAAAGACTCATGAACCAGGAGTCATGAGAACTGGATTCTAGTCTGTGCTCTGTCGATGACTACCTGTGTGACTTTGGCCAAGTCACTTCATCCTTTTGGGCCCATGTTTCCTTGTTAGTAACATCCGAGAGCCAGTCTGGACAGCCTCGTTGGCATTTTGGATTGTAGCATTTAATCAACTGGGTTAAGGGAGGAAACCACCTTGGGCAGCCTCCTAGTTTAATTATTCTTGCTAAATAGGTGCTAAAACTGCTACTGAAAGACCAAAAGTACTGTTAGGACCCTAATAAATTTTAGTTTCCTGGGATGAAGCCCAGTTTACCCTACCCTAGTTATGGCCCTACTTATAACTACTACTTGAGAGGCAGTGTGGTGGAGGGAGACAGGGAGAACCACTGGATCTTAGATACAAGGGAGTCCTTGAACTTAGAAGGAAAGAAAATATCTTAGTTTTCATTAACCTCTAACCGAAAGCTAGCATTTCCTTCAGTTATGAAAATATTCTCAGGAGGGGTCCATAGACTTCACCAGATTGCCAAAGGTGTCCATAACACAAAAGAGGTTATGACCCTTGGTGCAGGGTCACAAGGGCTAAAGTGTGACATCTTAGCAATGGCCAGTGAATCAGAAAGTGAGTAATGACTTGACTTTATTTTATTTTCTCCATAGCTTTTCAGTGTTCCCCCCGTGGGGGAGGAATGAAGATTTCCTTGCAGGACAGTGGAAGAGTTGACATTACTGGTCAAACAGCTTTTGTTTTGGAAGGGAATTTGACCATTTGAAAGTCACCATGCCAAGATTTACATCACTTCTGACTACTTTTCTGTAGTTGCTAAATACAGATTAAATGCAGAATGAAAGGGAACATGGTTGAAGATCCTCTTATGCAATGGACATTTTTGAAAATTATAGAATTATTAGTGTAAATTTAAAAATTATATGGAAAGCATGAGAGCGCCAGAAAGGGTTGCCATCTCCAAAATGGTAACTTGCAATGAATTTAATGTCTGAACCTCAATTAAGGTGCATTGAATGCAAATTAGATTGTATGCTCCTTGAGGGCGGGAACTTTCTCTTGCCTCTTTTTGTGTCCCTACTGCTGTGCCTGGCACAGAGTAGACATTTAATAAATGTTATTGAGTGACTAAAATCTCGACCGGGGGCAGCCTGTGCTGTCCATCCGTGCTGCTGACTGCTGGGAAGGGTATTCTTGACGACATGAGCATCATTTTCTTGAGGGCCCTGTCCTGGATGGTCCTTCTCATTCATCTCCAAAGCCTCGGGTGACAAAAGTCAGAAAACTCAGCAAGTATGGCCTGGTGTGGTGGTCAGATACTTACTTAGAAGTGCTGTGATCCAGTGGAAAGAGGACTGAGTTTGGGTGGAGATCAGGGTTCATATCCTGACTCGGCTCCTTATTACCTTCATAACCTTGGGCAAGTCACACGACCTCTCTTGGCCTCAGTTTCCTCCTCTGACTATATGAGGTCCCTTCTAGCTCAAATCTGTGGTTCCAGTGACATCTGTGCCTCTTACGAATGATTGTGTATGGTTGCTGTGGGAGTGTACGTAATTCACTGTACAGCCGTCCTTTGGGGGTGTGGCAGGGGGTCCTTCTCCCCCTTCAGAGCAGGGGTGGAGATTGTCTGACCCCTTCCTGGCAGCCAAGATGGCTCCTTTCAGTAGTTGCTGAGTGGGAGCTCTGGATCTATGAAAGGGGCCATCTCTATGCCTCTGGCTCAGATTCCTCGGAGCCCCAGCAGGTTGGGCAGGGGGGTTTACCTCCCTCTAAATGGTATGAGCCCACTGCTTCCTAGGCAGACTTGTGCCCAGAACAGGGCTGCCTCCACTGGTGGCTTCTTTCCTCTGGTACAGGCCATTGAGACATCTAGAGAGGCAGCTGGAAGCAGCAGCAACAGCAGAGGCAGAAAGGTCAGCTGAGAGGGGGAGGGTCACCCTGTTAGGGGAGAAGGGAGGGGAGAGGAAAAGAGAAGGCAGGGGAAGGGAAGGAGAGGGAGGGGAGGGGAGGAGAGAAGATGAGAGAGGAAGGGAGGGGAAGGGAGGAGAGGAAAGGATAAGGGAGGGGAAGGGAAGGAGAGGGAGGGGAAGGGAGGAGAGGAAA